GGGGGGGGGGGGGAGAGGAGATAGCACAATCTGAGCTGGAATGTTTCACACGTTACCCGAATTGGCTACATTTTATTTTGTAATTGCATGCTTGAAAATGGTATGTTTATTAAGCGGAATATGAAAACTCACAGTTGGTGGTTTGACCGTTTTTTTATTTGAAGAAATATTTGAACTTTCCGACCAGTGTATTAACCGGATTCCGTTTGCATGGGTGATGTTCATCGACGGTCTGTTTGGTTTGTTCGAATTGGTGACTAAACAAGTGACAGTGTAAGAATTAATTTCACAAGTTATAAGGCACAATACAACTGGGACGGACTGGTAACTCGCAAATTTCGGTCATAGTTCCTACAGCCAGAATACGAATGATATCTTTCAAACTGTGTCCTCTTGTTCACGGTACGCAGTAATTAATGTCTCCTGGTGTCACGAACGCAGTGTAGATTTTTTACTTCAGTTTAACCCAACCAGGATTGAAAAATTCAAACTGAACTTTACAACCACTGAACTTGTCGCCTCGGCTGGTGATGAAACGTTTGAAAACAGACTGTCAAATTGAATTCAGTTCACCCGAGCTACGAGACCGATTTTCTACAGTGATTTGTTAACAGGGCTGAAAACCCCTACACTGACAACTGGACTGGCCACGTGATTAGGTGGATTTTGGTCAGTCATGCTGTCCGTAGGGCGATGACCAACAGACCAACAATTGTCTGTTCTTTATCGGGGCGAGTTTCTTCCAGCCGAGATTTTGGGGAGGGAGATTTTGTTCACTTGGTTTACCTGAACTTGACTGTACTTCGGAAAGTGATTACTGTACGAATGTGTATGAATAGAAGAAGGAAAATTGGATCTAAGTAGCTGCTTCAACCCTAAGTGAGCACCATTATCAGTGCCTTCAGTTGATTTCCATGTTGTTACCGGACCGTCGTCAAATGGACGCTGTTGCCATCACTTGATAGTCTTCACAGGGCCTTCATTCTAAGCGGCTTGGGAGAAAGCTGACCATGTCTAATTTCTGAACGAACTTACTGATATCAAATCACCTTTCGTTTAGTGAGCATCAGATGGGATCATGACCTATATGCGGGCAACGCAGTGATCGGAAATGAGACGAAAAGTGTAACGATTAATTCACACTCCGAACTGCCTGTCCCTCTATTGTTTTAATGATGTCACGCAGTCTTACTTTTCGGGATCGCATGCTCTGTGCCATTTAGGCATCACTTTCCCCGTTGGCTGCAATTTATAAATAGAACAACTGACTCGCGGAATAGGTCTTTTCTACTTCCTGAGCGGTAACGATTTCCCCGAGGATCTGACGGGCAGCTACATATGTTACATGTTCCTCTCTCACCTTTCCATCGTTGTGGTAGATAATAGGCCAGGAGAACCATAGTAAACATGGCCCACGGTGGTGACTGTCATTTTCTCTCAGAATCGACAAACGTTCACAAATCACCGTTGTGTTTTGACCAGTAAACCAGTGATTCGAAATGAGCCAGGACCTCATTTCACTCTTCTTCCCCTGCCCCCGCCTCGAGCCCGGTTAAATCGGATTTTGTGATGGACATGTGATCTGGTTAGTTTTGATCATGTCACACAAAACATTACGTCACACTTGAATCAAGATTCTCCGTTCGTAGAACAGGCAAAACGAGGACGTGTGTGTATGCGCGCGAAACAATTCTCACTCCGGTGGCCTCATGTTGTCTCCTTGGGGGGCATGACAACCCACGAACGGGTCGTGCAACTGTCCCGTTGCACACACACACACACACACACTACTACCACTGGTTGCTACGTCGTCCAAAAACGTGTCATGATCATGTTTTGTTTTGGTCGTGTTCGGAACGAAGAACATACATACATAACGAAAACTAAGCATGCGTCACGGTTTGACCATCATTATTGTTGTTGTAGGGCAAGCAATTTTACGAGACATTCGGAAACAAAATTGCCCCAATTGGGAAAAATAAATGTTGCGGTCGAATACAACCCGAGTTACGAATTCATTCCCCATATATTTGCAACAAGGTACTTACTACTGATGTTTGTAAAAAGACGTAGTGCTTTGACTGGAACGGAAGGCAGCAGATCCAGTACGTGAAAGTATCTCTGTGAGTTAGCATGACATTACGTGTTGGCAACATAACTGAAAATCTGTATGCATACGGTCAAATCGGCAATGCGTAGCTGTTGTATGAACCCACGCAACAAGTTACACATTCAAATGAGTTACTGTGGTGTGATTTCATTGGTTCTCCGGCTTTATGGAGTTAAATTGCGGCGGCGTTCAGTGTCTACGGAAGTCAATC